TTTTTTAAAAAAAGCCACAAAAAAATGGACCTGTGAAACACTGCAGCACCAAGCAGCCCCGGGGTCTTGTCCGTCCGTCTGTCTGCGCCTTCTGCCACCAGCCGCCCCACCAGCACGGCCAGTCTGGGCATTTTGTCTGTTTGCTGCTGCTCTGCCCCTGGCATCGTGCTGGGCCCACGTCAGGACCGCCCTCTCGGCAGCAGGAGCACAGCCCAGGAGCATCCTTGGGTGCAGAGCAGCTCCTCTGTGCCTGCCCTGGCTTTTCACGCCCCAAAAATGAAGCACAAAGGGTGGACCTGGCCCCGCTTTCCACCGACGACAGCGGCAGGGTCCCCTCCAGGTGGAGCAGGGAGGCTGGCTCGCTGTGCTGCCCGCAAGGTGCCGGGAGCTGCGTTGGCCCCGCTCCCGTGCCAGGCGGGAGCTGCACCCGGGGGGTCTCCAAACCCCTCCGTTGCACGTCTGGTCTCCCCAAAACTCAGCGCTCTGCTCCCCAGACCCCTGCATCCCAGGCTTTGCTGCCCGCCCCTCCTTTGCACTAGTGCACGACGAGTGTGAAGCCCCCCCTGGCCTGGCCCGTTCCACCGACAGACGCGACCACCCCAGGGCACCAGACCTCCCCCTGCAGCACTTCATCCCTCCCCACTCTTCCTCTGTCTCCCCTTCGGTGTGAAAAAGGCCCGAGTGGGGTCACACGTGGCACATGCCCCCAGCACGGGGGGAGGGACACAAATGGGGACACCTGGGTTCAGCTCCCCCAGCGCCGCGTCCCTCCTCTGCAGCGCAGCTGGCGCTGCCGGGGCAAGTGAATGTTTTTGCCTTGTTTTATGGGTGTTTGTTTGGTTTTAAGAGTTCATTTTGCACTGGCAAGTGGCAAGAGCACAAGCAGAGCCCGGGTGGGGGACCAGCACCACGCAGAAGCCACCGGGCTGTGCTTCGGGCCGCGGGGGAACGGGTTGGGGCTGCTCCTCATCGAGCCTGGCAGTGGTCCGGCCCGCGGGGTAGGTGCTGGGGGAGATGGACTTTGGTGTGCCAGAGATGAAACGTTCATGGTGGAGAGGGTCAGCGCCGTGTCCTACCAACACCAGCAAACCCCCAGAGCCGGAGCAGGGGGTCCCAGCAGCACCCACCCCGCTCTGCCCTCCAGGGTCCCAACTTTTTGCCCTCCCGAGGTGTTGGCCGCTGCCCGTGCCGGGTGTCCGCGCCCCACGAGCCCC